TTGTGCCAGGGGGAAAATGTCCTCAAAGGAAACATCAGGAACCTTCTGGGCCAGTGAGGCCAAGTAGCTGGGGAGAACAGGGGATGTGGGGGCTCAGGGGGTCAGATCCCCCTCCCCAGGTAATATCTCTGAGCAGGGAGGGAATGGGAGCACAGAGATGCTCTGTGTGTGCACTGGGCATGGAGCATCTCCAGGGGTTTACACTGGAATTAAAGCTTCTCTGGGAATGCTGCCCACAAACAGGATCTGCAGTGGGAAATAGGAATGTGCTCCCAGCCCAGCCCCTGTTCCAGCAGGGAAAGGCCATTTCCCCCTGTACCTGAAGGTGGCTTTGTCCTTCCCGTACGCCGAGAAGCGAGAGCAGACCCGGTTTGAGGTCAGGGTGAGGAGGGAGAGGGTTTTCCTCTCCAGTTTCTGCCACACAAAGAAAATGGAGTTGTCCTCCTCTCCCAGGGCCATCAGTCACCTCCCTGGGGAGTGAGGATGGGGACGAGTCTGGCAGTCCAAAGGGTTCACCTCCTTCAGGAAGCAGGTGGTGGGGGCAGGGGAGATGCAGCAAGTGGAGACCATGGAGAGGAAGGTCCTGGTGGAGCCCAGGAGCACGGGCAGGGGTGCCTGGCTGTAGCTGCTGGAGTACTCGTACAGAAACCTGCGGCAGAGGTGGGATGAGGAGACCTGGCACTCCGGATTGGGAGCAGGAGATGTGAGGTTTGGGGCATCAGGGCTGCCTGGGGAGGGGAGGCTGCCCCAGGTACCACCCCGAGCTGCTCCCACCTGGGCTCAGCCGAGCACCTCCTGCAGCCTGACTGACCTGTCTGCAAACTCCCTGGGGTCCTTCCTGAACTCCTGGCAGAGCTCCTGGTCGGAGGGTTGGACGTAGCGGGGCAGTGGCTGCGGTGGGTGCTGCAGGGCAGCCAGGCACAGCTTCCGCTCCAGCCCCGCGTGGGCGCAGCACGAGGCGACGCCGGGATGTGCCGGGAAAGGTGAGTCTGTGCCGCAGGATTTGGCCGACAGAGCCGAGGACTGCGGAGGGAGAGGAGGTTACGGCCACCCCTTCCCACCCCAGCCCAGTCTGCGTCCGTCCCCTCTCCGTCAGCCTCACCCCAGCGTCGTAGCAGGAGGCGTCGGCGCCGTCGGCACAGCAGGTCTCAGCCAGGGAGACGATCTCCCGGACCAGGTGGCTGATCTCCTCGAAGGTGCCGTTGGAGTATTTCCTGCTGTTGGAGATGATGGTCCTGGGAGCAGGGAGCAAGGACAGGGTGAGCCAGAGGTACTTTTCCCTCTCTTAAAGCAAAAATCGTGTTACAGCTTTGTACTGCCCAAACAGGTTTAACACTATCGGCTCCAGCACTGTGAGAAGTAGTAACACATTCCTTGGAAAACAGCTGGGAAAAACCTGGAGCAGGTCCCAGGCTGGGGACTGGTCCTTCCAGGGGATCACACACCAGCTCTGTTAGAATTCCTAATTACTTAGGCACCTAA